ATTGGATTGCTAGAGCAGAAGTAAGGTACAAATAATAGGCTTTATTTTAATCGTGTTACTGCATTTATTACAAATTCCATGAAAGTTCGTTACGAAACATGTACTGAAATGGATAAAAAATAAACTAAAATCACGTAAATGTAAAGATTATGTCCTGTGTGTAATGTGGGGACAGAAATTTGTAAGTTGGAAGGCCATCATCTAAACAAATATTTATAATAAATACACAATATAAACTCTGTCATCAAATTACAAATAAAATATTCACACTATATTTAAACATTGTGAAATTAATGTGAAGTAAATATGTACTAAACTAATTTAATTTGTTTTATTTCACGATATAAAGGATATTACGTAATTTCATACCAAAATATAACCATAGTTTTGCATTAGTTATACGCTGACAAAACAAACAATATTCATATAACGGTAACCACTATGAAGTCTAAATGGTTTCATTAAAAAGGAACATTGGAGTTATATGGGGCATGGACCAATAAACGTTTCCTTTCGTCATAACTCATACACCAGGATCAATACAGTGCTGGGTTCTGCGTGGACGCATCCCTCGCACACAGGCTTTGGCACATTATGGGAAACTGAAATTGTGGCTTGAATTCAGAGCAGTCGTTCTCTTTTGTCTCATATGAACAGGAAGCAAACACGAGCTATAAATTACTGAACTAGAATGATGCTGAAACAAAGTTGGCAACACTTGAACGGAAATTGGCACTATGGCCTTCTGAACCATGAAAACACTGATTATGAAAGTTGAATGTGCAATTCTCTATTAAAGATTTGAAAGCCAGGAAGATTCGTAATACATTTTCTAGTTAAGGTTCGTTTTTAATTTAATTTGGTTCTTGGCACATTTCACGATACAATCTTAGAAAAAGACGCAGCGTTGGTTCATGAAATCTGATGAAATTAAGAACGGATTCAGCCATTCTCTCTCGCTGCACGTTTTTCACCAACAAAGAAATGTTCATGATACTGAGTGGCCACAGAACGTCAGAACAAGCCGTGACGCGCTCAATTTCTAATTCTGTTATCCAGCGCTACTTCAAGGCATGTAGAAACCGTCCTTTTGTTTTCTCTCGCAGTTTACGCGCCACGTATGTAAGCAGCTCCTGGAGCTCACGATCATTGAAGTGCCTTTCTGAAATCAAATACTACCAGCCTACTTACGTTATTCCACGGGTGCCATATCTCATACTTCACAGCGCATGTAATGAGCCAAAGAAATATGGTTTCTTGCAGAAAATAAAAGTTTGCGACTATAGTGTAATATCAAATATATCTCACAAGGTCGCGAATACCAAATACAAAATTTATATTTTCATAGAAATGCATAGGAAGTAGCACAACTTGAAAGCACATTTAAAATCTACATAATATTTCCTGCGATTATAAATTATAGGTTTGGGACCGAGTGACTAGAATTAGTTCCTCGTAATCTGTATTTTCCTTCTGTTTCATTACAAAGCTACATGATTAATGACATTCGTTTTTATTGATTGATAAACAAGAGCTCAGTTCATTGTTAACGTCTGCAACTTGTTGTCTAGGCTTCAATGGCAACTGAGCCGAAACAAACTTTCGACTTCTTGACACATTCAATTACTAAAAATGTATTATTTTGTATTAAAGAATGCATATACTACCAATTCATGATTTTGATTACAGATGCTAAGAATACCTGTTGAGCATTTTACATTGTCTGGACTGGAATTCAGATCTTTGGGATACAATTTAAATGCCATGAAATATACAGAATAAAGCAGAAATCTGGCAAAATTAAATCTATCCAGAAGACTTCATTACAACGCGCCCTACAATGGGACTTTCAGAGCAGATGAAGACATGGACCAATGGAAATAACTTATTATTTCATTGTCCCAAATCCATAAGATTCCTTTCCAAACGCTGGAGTGTCTTACAATATCGATAATTTCACACCTCATATCAATTGTAATATTTTGCGCAAACTGAACTGATATCCAACTCAAGAAAACTGATTCCATTGCAGACAAGTGATACAGGCATTAATAGCGAAAGGAGAGTGTAGGGACTTTTCATACAGTTATCTGCCTCATATAATCACTAGTACTTTCACATGCTTGGTTACTGAGTGCAATTGTCTTCAACAAAGTGCTCATTATGAATAAGTCGGTACGCTAAGACAGTGGATTCACCTCACTAATAATTACAAAATATAATATAGGTGCCATTTTTTAGCAGAATAAGACATATAAAATGTTTGCATCACTTTCAGGTTTCCCTGAGCTCTAATGTTGTAGTACTGAAGTTTATACCGTGTGCTGATGCTACGTGTATAATTGTACGAAAACACGTCTGAATGTAACTGCGTACGATACAAATTGGTTTATTATTTGTTACGGACCATTCATTTTTACTTATCTTTTTATAATTTGATCATATATCCTAATCTCTCATTCCTTTTACGGCCTTGTGACTATTTTCCACTTCCAGACTAATTTATTGCTGCCTTTGTCATAGTGGTGTCTGGATGCCGTTTGTTCTTGTAATCAGTTTTTCAATGACCACTAAGCTGCGTGCCTAGTGATGTGAAAAGTTACAGGTGATCTGTACAGATAGAATCCATCTACTATTTAAATAAGGGTGAGTCGTCATAAATTAATGACGTAGACTGCAAAATAAGATTTAGAACAAAAATTACAACTTCTATTTTAGCACGGTTCTATTATTCTTATTTTGCTGCGATTTTCAGACCCAGTTACAAAGGGCTTTACTGTTTTAAATTTACCTACACAAGGTACGTTGTACCCTGGTTTCTAGAGTGGATGACCAACCCCTGCTGCCTATTTCCAGAAGGTTGTAACAGGTCGCGTAATGAAATATCTTCGGTTCTTTTAATGTCAGTGATAACGTCGAAATGAAACATACGTATGACAAAAGAGAACCAATGCCACAAAGCTTTATGAGCAATGAATATAAAGACTCAGTCATAACCGGCGTTCGCCATTCAACAAATATCATCCTTTGTGCCTTATAGCAGAGAAATTGTGCGCCTCAGACACGACTTTCATTCAAATAAAAATAATGTCGAAAAAAATACGTTCGTTACATTTCTGAAGTATTTTTACAACTATCAAAGAAATTTATAATTAAAAAGTACTAATAAATTCAAGCCGGTATGAACTCAATTGAAAGTGATCATTAAACATTCCCATGCTTGAAGTTATAGTAAAGAAAGTCTCTTCTTGCGCTTTATTTTCGGGGTAACGTATAATTTAATTGCCCAGAAGCTGAATGAGGGGTTTCTTCTATTAACACAGCCAGAAAAGAGATCTCCCGGGCACGGAAAGTAAAGAGAAAATTACGAGTAGCTCAACACTGTGAATTCTTTCTTGCACTAATTTACTTCGCGATCCATTCCTGGTGACCGACAGTCGCGGGAGAATTGCCGGCACTCCTGCTTCGTATTCGGAAGGTGCCCGATTTGTATCCCGGCCCGGTACCCGATATTCCGAAAACAGAAAAACAAACTTATTTTTCAGTAGTGTGGTTTTTTTTATATTAGGCTAGGATCTGTTATTTTCACATTTTCATTATCACCATATCATTGTACCATTCGACGTTACGCAACTTAACACAAAGCATTATCAAAAATAATTATTAATAAATGAAACATATTTCTGCTGTTAACCTATATAACTAAAAAAGTCCAAGAGGCTTTTTGGCTTGTATCTCAGGGAAAGGTCATATTTATTTATATGATAAATGGGCATGTCCCGTCATCTAGAACTAACAATAAAATATAAGATTTGAGGTTTTCACGGCGGTGACTATGTTAGGACTATGTTATCTTCTGAGATGTGACGCCGTGTAAATCTTGTGTGAACCGGAGGAATGTATCGCCCTTATCTTCAGGGTAGAAAAATCCGCGAGCAAGGAGTCAACGTGAGCAGGTGACTGCAGCCACATCCCAGAAGAAGGCATTCCTTAACAATAAAATATTACGAATTTGCACATTCTTTTGAGAGATGCGAATGAGATTAGAGACTAAGAACCTGTCATTGTTTCTAACCAGAATTTACTAATGCATTTTTGTTACAAAGAGTTCAGGAACGTTTGCCTATGAAATTACTGTAAAATATTAAATGAGTAAATAAATTAATTTTCGTCACTCATAAAAGTGCAGATTATTTCTACTGCAAAGTATGTCAGAGAATTATTGGTAAGTAAAAACTCGGTGTAAAGAAATTGCACGTATTTTCTCACATATGATTGACCTTGATTTCTTTACATTGGAAATTAAATCGATTGTTTGTCGGTAGAACACAGATAATTTGTGGATACTGAACAAACAATGAAATTCATCCAACCAGTGAAGCCGGTTTTGACAAAACCGACATTTCGCCTTTTGACCTCCAGCGCGTGTTGATAGTTTCCGGCGGACAACAGCTATGCAGTTATATTTTTGAAAGTCAGTCACCATAATTTAGTGAAGTTTAATTGAAATTTTCTTGGCCGTTTCAGAGGAAAACTTTGTTTTGCGTTGTGAAGCCCATCAGAAGCGGCGCTCTTTTTGCAGCTGGAATGTTCATATTTACCGGACACAGTCCTATGAGCGAAATAACTACTGAAAACCGAACATGAACAAAATCCGTGTAACTGTTCAGGCGTTAATGAGGAGGGCATCCGTACATATATACAGTATATAGACACACAGTATTAAAACGATATAACAATAATATACACACACAGAAAAATTACATTCCAAAAAAACACACTCTCTTATTAATGGTGCTCAGAATGCGTAAATCTGTCAAAATTTCGAGACAAATTTTTCACCACCATACTGCTTTCTCGTACATACGTGCCTAAGTAAGCAACAGAAAGAATAAAGTTCCTTGATGTATGGTTGTCTATTTAATAATAATAATTATAATAATAAATAAATAGCAGTGGTGGTGGTGGAAGTGATGGTGTTAGTGTTACTACTACTACCACCACTACTACTAGCAGTAGCAGTAGTAGTAGTGGTAGTAGTAGCAGCAGCAGTAATGGACCAAATACGATTCATACTTCAATTATCAAGCTTGCAGCATTTAGTTTTAAACCGTCCCGAGGTTTCCGTATTCTGGTTCTGCTGATAATATAGATGCACGCATTATTTTTATTATCATCATCTTATAAGTTACTTATGTTTTTTTCCGAATAATACGCGTCTCTGTAATGTTGAACGGTTAAATTTAGGAAGATAAATCTTTCTTTACCTTAATCTCACATTTGCCGCACAGTATAAAATAATACACAATAAAAACAAACTTCAATAAATAATGGTATTTTCTATTATGTTCATTATTAAAATAGTTAACAGAAATGAATGTCCGTTAAAAGTGTGAGAGCCTAATGTGCAGCAGATATTATTCGGAAAGTGCCTGAAGGAGAGCAGCACGCGTTGTATGTATGTGTTAGGACCGCACAGACGTGTTTACATGCTGCAAGTCATCAATTGAGAATACCTTTCTTCTAAACCCCATGGAGGTTCTATTCCTAGGACGAAATACACCAGTCCCTGTGTCACTTCATCTGTGGTCTAAAATGTAAGACACTGGCCTGGAACAAAGCGAACACTGGCTCTGTCACGTGCCCTGTTACTCTGGAATCACATTCCGCAAATATTGCTTAGAAACGTAAAATACCAAAGAAAGTGTATCCTCATACTGAGGTGATATGAATTGAGAGAATACAGAAATTTTGACCATCGCAGCATCCTATCAATGGGTCGCGGAACGCCAATTTCATAATGATTTACATGTCCAGAAAAATATTATGCTTATATTTAAATATGTCTGTCATGTTGTGTGAGAGCTGTAATGTATAAATTCTTGCAAGAATATGTTTTTATACATAGCTTATCTTCGTATTGAAGCAAGACATCCATTTCACTTCATTGGAAATATTTCCAAATTTAGTGTTCTTAAGTGTTTGAGGTTGTTTCGGTTCCCTGTCCTTTTGTTTTATTTATGGAATACGCAACACTATCCGAGTATCTGCCTCAAAATGATCTTTTACAAGTTTTCTCCTTTCCAATTAATTTTCGTCCTCTACATTTTTAATTCCACGCTATTTTTGGCCACTTTTCCTCATACATCTCTCTTCTTTGTCAATTCACTTCCTTCGATGTACACTAGTCTTGTCAATAATAATGTTGACTTTCATTTTAACTCGTATATTGGGCTTTCCTCTCTTTATTACCTCAACAAATATATCAACAGAGAATGGTGAAGTTCTTATATCTGTCCTGTTAACTCTCACTCCACTTTCCATTACAGCGAGGTTCAAACACATCCTACTCTTCATTACGAAATTCAAGTTAACAGAGGACAGCAAAGAGAACATAACCTTTCTGTGTCTCTGTAGTAATACCCACCAAAATTCACAAGTGTCACTATCAACCTTGATATGCATCTCATCCAGATATCTTCATATATGTCCAATTAGCAATTATGTATATTTAGGCGTGTAGCAACTAGCGTCATCTTGCGTTGTGGAGCCCGCAGCATGTCAAGGTTAACATCAAGGAGAAGCAAAACGTTGCTGAGAAGCAGTAGCTCCAGTACGGATAGATCCGCAGAGCGTCACTTTTGCTGCCGTGCTGCATTGCTGCTGGTTCCTCCCCTGCAATTAACAACATGTGGAAATCTTATAAGCTATTCCCACTTGTGTTTACGTGCTACATTTCGGCCCATGTTGCACTCCATTTTATCATCTTAATAATACTTTCCAAACACTATAAAGGCTGTAAGATTTGAGGCTTTCACGGCGGTGACTATGAAGAAAGCAGTCTTCTGGGATTTGGCACCGTGTATATGTGGTGTTAACCGACGTTTCGGAGGAACGTATCGCCTCCATCTNAAAAGCTACAAAGTGCATTCACACCTCTCAGTTCTGGCTTTCTTAACACGCTGATTCACATCTCTGTTGCTTTTCTACAAACCGGCCACAACATACCCATTGATAAATTATCCAAGATCAAATTTAACCAGGGTCAACGAGTTGTCAAGGTGTGTTCCAAATTTTTTATTTATTTATTTTTTCATACCACGAATAAACTGAACACCAAAGTTATCTTTTATTGCGTCAGTTAACTGACATGCTTTATATCTCGTTATTTTATAAAATGTGAGTGAGTTTAGAACAAGAATTTTTTTCGATACAGTTTCGATGAAGATAGACTCCACCAAAGAATACGATTTATTGAGACTAGTTGACCTAAAAATACACTGAAAAGCTGTAAAAGTTTTTTCTTCTGTTCTGTCATTATTCTTACTAAATCTCTAGGAATTAACGAAAGAGGGACGAAATGCAGGCTTTCAGTAATTTCGCACACACACACTCAGTTCTGAAGTATATCATTCGGGTCATTTTTCTAAATAAATTAAAATATGAACAGGTTGTATATGTTTCGTTCCGCATGAGGAATTTTTTGCCAGCCACATGCAGTACGCTACTAACGAGTTTCAACAATCTGAAGCCCGAAATTAATCAAAACATTGTTTCAAAATGTTATTGCTACGTAACAGGGAAATACATTGCATCTCCATCAGAAAGACCAGTCGATAAGGCTTGTTCTTTACCCCGATAGCCGTAACAACTATATACTTACGTTGTGGGGAAAATGCAGGGGTATATAGAGCACACCTGTGCTTTTAAGTTATAAAACCTTACCGTATATATTCCAGATTCACTAACGCTCTACTTTATAACTCTTACAAATAAATATTTTTGCTCGACATTCCTGGACACGATGTTTCGTTTATGCAGCTGTGTATTCGGTCAGAGTCCACAAATATTTTAACATTTTTATGACAGACAAATTCTATGAATCACATGGAGTGAGGGCTTTGTCCAATTTGTGAAAGTACCCTTCCAGCTTAACACAAAAAGAATTATTTTATACAAATCCTCATTTGGATTTAACGGTACATTTTTGAAAATCGTTTATATATTATTTCCATTAGACCAAATCGTATTAGAGAATGTATAGGGAGAGTAATAATACCACAGAAATATTCCGATGAGAATAACAGAGATGTAATATTTTGGTGGTATTTTGTTAAATGAAACTCTTTAGGATCATTTAATGTAATGGTAATACTATTATTTTTCACATTAACCAGTGTAACAATTACCTCAAATACAACTACTTTTCCATTTTATTTCGATGTTGGACGAGGTTGATAACTTCACCTTCTTGTGTGCGTGTGTGTGTATGAGTGTGTGCTCATGCGCACGCAGTACAGAGCTATTCTTCAAGAGTTGATATTTATTCTGTCAGCAAAAAACTACTGTTCATATGTGATTCTAAATTAACTGGCCGGAACCATAGTAGTTCTTCACAGGACCTCATCCTTAGCCAATAAGTTCAGTTCACGACTAGTTACCCGACTGGTAAAAGTATTCCATGGCACAGAATTCTTCTTTGGAAACTCTTATTAGCTGAGCTATTCACGAACGTCTCGTTCTTTTTGGAAACCAAATGTAAATAACAGCCCGACCTGCTCTCTAATTTAAACAAGATAAATCCAATGCTTATTCTCAAAACTCCTATTGTAGTGTATGATTCAATATTATCCTACCATTTATATTTCTGAACCTCAAATCATACCCTTTCCTCAGTTGCATAAATAAAATATTTACCATTTCACTCAAGAGTTCTGTATGCTCATGGCCTTGGTTGGGTCACCAAATATTGGTGACCAGTAATGTAGTTTTTCATTGCACGCTTCCCTTTACTTCCTTTCAGATCCGAATGTTCTTAGCAACGCACTGTTCTCGAACATAATCTCGACGAACTCCGTCGTAATTTTATTTCAGTAGGATCTGTAGTTGTTTATCATGTACGTGCATCTGCCTCTAGATTATTCGTGTCTAGTTCCTACTTTCGTAGACAAATCAACTGCCGCTAACAAACACAATTCTAGGCACTTGTTTTTCGAGGTCGCAATGCTGTTCTTGTAATCTACAGAGGAAATAAAACTGAAAGACAAAGTTGTCCTTGTGCTTAATTAATTAAGCACCACGCATGAGGAGCCGGGATAGCGTAATCACTGTAGCGACTGGCTACGGAATGGACGACCGAGGGGTTGGATTTCGAGTCCCAGTAGGGAAAAGAATTTTCTCTTCTTCACGTCGTCCAGACCGGCTCTGTGGTCCACATAACCTCCTATCCCCGGGGGTAAAGTGGCTGGGGCGTGAAGCTGATCACTCACTTCCAAGTATTGGTGAGGTCAGGCAAGTGTGGATTTATACATTTACTCCCCCATACGCCTTCATGGCCTAATGCTTAGTTAAACACAGGGACATCTTCACCTTTACCACGCCATGAAGATGTATTTGGAGTGGAGGTATAGCTCCGCTGTTCTTGACATCTGCACTAGATGGAGGAGAGTTGTCAGCTTCAAGCTACTGCCGCTTTACTCACGGGTAAACAGCCCCCGTACCCATTGCATATGAATCTGAGTGGGACCTAGAGCCCGTCTGTCGGGAATCGAAACCGGATTCTTTGGTCGTCCAGCCCGGAAAATAATCACTATACCGACTGAGCTATTCAGGCTTTCCTACAATGAAAACATATCTTAAAATTAATTGCATGCATTTCTAAGGTCACCAAAAAGAAATTATATTTTTATGCTTGTAAGCTGTTACTTTGTTTAATGTCAATTCAAACTTAGGTCACAAGGTCATATTATTTGTTTCTGTGGTCGAAAGTTACAGAGTGCAAGGACTGGATGCTGACGTACAGCGGCGTTCTTTTAATAATGAAGCAATCCGTCATTTCTTTAAAAGTTAGATGAGAGATAGACAAAGGGACATGGCAATACCATAAGCAGGGAATCCTTTACAAAATAAGAAAGTTAAAATAATTATATTATTTAAAATTTAATGTTAGAAGTACCGTCCCTCGCTCTATAACTAGCTTATTTTTATTATGTATTGATCTAAAAAAATGAATAACTCTTATGTGGTTTTGGTGCGGGTAGCCTACCGTTCAGTATATGGACACTGATGCTGGCAGGATGTGCGTTGGATGGCACGCAGGAATAGTTCCCAGAATCGTGCTTATGTGCTTCGGCCACGACCAGTTCGCTGAAATGGCGCCCATGTCGGACCCGGACCCCACGGCCCAGGTCATAGTTGATCATCCGGGTCTCGTGGTACCAGAACACATACACAGGTGGCTCCGTGCTCTTCTTCAGTACACACATGAGTCGCAGCGAGCTGCCGGACTTGACAAATTTGTCCGGTCCTCCTGGAATTTCTGCTCTCGCCTCTGAAACAACACACATCTCTCAAGGCGAAGCCTATGCTGCACTCTTAGGAATAAATGCTCTGATAATATCCCACCACATCCTTCCACACTCATGATTCACAGCATTCGAAGATGCAACATATACAGTTGACACAGAGTCGTTAAATGTACTAAAATGGACAATGCCTTGCCTCGGCATTCTTCACATATAAAAATTTTAAAAATTGTATTTATTACAAAAATGTTGTGGTGGGATAATTGATAGCCCAATAGATTACTTAACGACGCTGTTTCGCCTATAGAGGTTATGAAGCTAAAAACTGCCTATGCATATGATAGCATACGATATTACTTAACGACGGCTCGTCAAATGCAACAGAAGCATATACTTGTATGTAACTCTGAAAAAGAAGATGGTTTTAAATTAATCACTGGAAAATATGTGGACATACATGCCTAAATCTACTTTGAAGCCACTATTCAGGAATTCTATTGAAGGATCTGACGGAAACGAAGAAATAATTCAATTACATTAGCCGGTTACACAGCTAACAGTGGATCTGAGTACCTCCAGAAAATAGGTCAAGAAGTTTATACTAAACATACGTGACATTTCATGAAATTTACTTCCATCATTTTTCTCATTGCCTGCTTCCTAAATTTCCTTCGGTTCCTTACATTTTTAAGCCGTATTTCCATCCCCATGGAGAAGCATCACATATCAAACTCCTTACATTATAGTGATACTATGAACCTACGGCATAAGTTACGAAAAAAGTATGGTAAGACTTCGGGCGCATTTACATTCTCTATGCTTTTCGTTACGTAAAAAATCCTCTCTAAACGATTTAATTTGCAGGTGCAATGTTAAAGGTAAAATATATTGTGCTCCTTGTGGACTCTCAGTAACTGTCTACCATCCATAGAACTCAAACAGTAGAACCGCCTACTGAATATAGATATCAAACACAACACAATCGCGCTACAGCATAACCAGACTGCACATAAACCAAGGAGCCATGCAAGGAATGCCAGAAACATAGAGTATCAATTGCAAATAAATTCGCTTTAACTGAATTCAGCAGAATTCTACAATAACTGGAAATACTTTTAAACAAGTATACCGCCACTCCCCCATGTCTTCATGGCATAACCAATTAAGCACAGGGTTAACTTTAACTTTTTTCGAGATGTTCATTAGAGAAAGCCATATAGTGCGGCAAAAATGATCTACCTGATAATAAACTTCTAAGTTCGAAATATGTAATAGAAGTAACATTTATAAGAAAAAGTGGAAAAATAGCACACCAGCAGTCTACGGTCACGACTGTCCCTGCAAATTAAATTATTAACCAGTGCAACAGGATGCTCAAATATAATACTGTGAAACCTTCTGTTGGTAAATATTTCTACAGCAATTTTAAAGCTGTACATTTGAGAAGTTGCAAATCGGCAACTTGAACTGCTAAAACAAGGCGGGAGAGGAACAGTTCGCTGAATTTTTGGAATATAATATATAAGTTTATAACACAGAAAATTCCACTGTATTAAGGGAGATTTCAACGGCCTTAAGACCTGATGTGGGGACTACACAATGTCCTATATAATGGGTACGAGGGTTGCTCTTTCGCGGAGGAAATTGCAAATCAGGGACGCAGCAGCAAAATCACCATTTTTCCTGGAGATGTCTCTCCATGAGGAATATCTGTTGTTGTTACTAATTTTGTCTGCGTATGGCTGTTTCGGAAAAGCAGGGCGGGACAGGAGGACGGATGATCATACAAGTAGGCCGATGTTTTTTTTAAGGAACAATGTGAACTGTGTTCAGCTCGCACAGGACAGGTGTCAGCTACGTGATCCTGTAACAGAAGTAAAATTCCGAATTGCGTAAAAAGGTGGAATTTTTTAGTAGCTGAACGACTACTAGATTCCAAAGTAGAAGTATGCTCTACGGATTTAGTTAATTTGTTAGGCAGTCATAGTAGATGCCTTCCCACAGTCTCGGCAACAAGACCTGAATCTGAATTATTCTGTAAGTTAGTTCAGTCACATAACAGGAAATAGCAGCAATACAGTAATGCAGTAGATAACATCTGGCTTAGTAATCAGATGACGTATGCAACTATCCACAAAGCTGGTTGAGTAATGCGGTGGAGATCCATTCCATTCGTAAACAACAGTTTTATGTCTGCAAGAGAGAAAGCAGCCCACTACAATCAGGATAACTGTCATTTTGCTCATAAATATGGGGCTGAATACTAAACAGGTTTATTGACAACGATATATGAACAAGGAAAGCTCAGTCAGTAAAGTGATTGGACAGCCGAGATTCAATTCCCGGGAGGATCAGGGTCTTTTCTCTTTGACATCATGTCCGCACTGGATTTGTGGTCTACCCAACCTCCTATCCAGTGGGCACCATAAGCTCTTTCCCGGGGCTAAATTGGTCCGAGCGTAAAGCTGACCAACCACTCACTCACATCCAGCGCTAGAATTGTGGAGTGCATGGGTCTTGTTAGCGTGCCTCCTGTACACACAGTGTGTTGCTTACGCGTGAGTAAAGCTTTTCGTTTTGTTCGATACAAAACTGTAATTCTGATGTCAATACTAAAATGTACTCGATGGACATGATGACTCTGCCTCTCAAGAATTAGAAACCAGTGCCTCTAGCACACAGTTTAATTTCCCGCCCTTCTACTTAACTTCTCTTTACACCCTTAACTGCTTCAGTCAGGCCATGATACATTTTCAGAAGGTTTAATTTGACAATATTATGTATCAGGACTTTTAAAGGTCATTTAACTTGGCCTTAATCCAGCATCAAACAGATACAGCTGCTGACTGGCCTTTAAACCCATCCAACCACAAACATGAAAACTTTGTCGCGACATGCAGATAGCTCTTGCACTCGCCCAGCCACCTATTCAACAAATAATTAGTGGGATCTCTTTCCCCGGAATATAAAACTGCGTGAGCCTGAAACTAATCACTCACTTCTATTCAGGGCCGATTATTAAAAAATGTATTTAACTGTGCCTCCGTTTGCCCATACATCTTCATAGCGTGATGCTTTATTTTTTACAGGATAAATAAATAGTTTTACACCTATTCTTGTGGCTTTGTTCTCTGCACATTTAGTTCCTTATTGTATTCCTTAAGAATCTCCTTGGTTTATATAACAAAGCTCTGACAGTTATATTAGTTTAATGGTGATGAGTGCGCTATCATCACAGAACGCAAGTGTTGACTCTGATACTCGATCGCATAGAATATAAATTGCCTGAATGAAGTCAAATCGGCAATCTAAAGTTCCCCACTGACATAATGAAATTAATTATGTTTTTTTTCTTCTTTTTTTCACACTTGGCACTACAGCCCCAATGGGCCTAGGCCTACCTACATGAACTTCTCCGTTCACTTCGGTTTTTCTAGATGTTACACATTCGGTTGGACTCCTTGGGTGGGTGATCAGCTCGTCGCAAGGCCTCTACCTGTACACAAACACAGAAAAACGCACACACATCCATGCCCTGAGTGGGATTCGAACCCACGATCCCGGTTTCCAAGCGAGCGAAGACCGTACATGCCTTAGACCGCTCGGCTACCGTGACGAGCTAAATTATCCTTTCTAACAGTCATCAATTTAGATAGTATATTTGATTTCTTTGTACAATGTATCAGTTACTCTTAGCAAAACATCCCTATAACTTTAACGTCAGAAACTTCATATGGACACGATACATCCCATTTACACAAGCCAGTTTCAGGTGATACTGACATGACAGTATCTAATCTATGCAATTGAGGAAGGTCCGTTAAAACACTCGGAAATATATACATTATGTTTGTTGTGGAAGGAATGCTTCGAACTTACTTATTCAACAAACCGAGCTATGAAAATTAAACTAATAGCTGCACCTGATTTAGATGGAAGGTCGCTATGTAATTCAATAAACTGACACATTACGAATATTCATCACATCTGATGTGTCGATCACCGCCATTAATGAGTGCATTCAGACCAGACTTCACTCGTGAAACAACCTCCTTCAGGTACAGTCCCTACCTCTATTATGTCGTTTGAAGTAAAGTTTCCTATCACACGACTCGGCTCATGTATGACTATTTTAGCTGAGCTAAATCGTAATACGAACTGGCAGTATCATTCCTATCAGTACTCGCCCCGGCGGTACATACGTGGTTTGACAATAACATTCGCCAACTCATAGCCTTCCTTTAAATGCGGGAACAGAAAAGAGTCACTGGGGGCTAGATCCGGTGGATAGGGAGGGCGTTCCAGCACACTTACTTGTTTACTAGCTAATAACTCCCTCAAACAAAAGAACAAATTCCGTGGCCTGTAGTCCGCAAGCTAACTATACCGACCGAGAGACCGCCGCTTGTCGGCGAAGTTTAGCGGATAGAAGGTGTCACATGGTCAGCGCAGTGGATTTCCACGGCCATTAATCTCGGTTATATAGACCGGAGCCGCTATTTCATTGAAATAGCTCCTCAATTATCCTCACGAAGCTGATTGGACCCCGTTCCAGACCCACTACTCAGAAAATCTGGTAGCGCCGGGAATCGAACCCGGACCCCTGGATCTATAGCCAGGGACTATGACCACTAAACCACAGAGACGGTCAATAAGTCGCTCAAAGACCGTTTTTTTTTCTGTTAGCTCCTTTGAGACCATTTGTACACACCATCCTCAAATCAAGGTCTTAGTTAAGATTTTCCTAACTGTTTTTCTGTCAATGCTCGCTTTCTCTGCTGTGCTCCTGACAGTCAGTCGACGATTTTCATGCAAAATTTGACGAAATTTTCTAAAGTTTTCTTCGGTTCTGCTCGTTGCTGGTCGTCCTGAACTCTCTTCCTCAGTGACACATTCTCATTCCTCAGAAAAACGTGTCACCCAATTGTAAACTGCTGTCTTCTTCATAGCATTATCCCCGTAAACATGCACCGACATCTCGCTGATTTCGCTTTCAGTCTTGGCAAATTTAACTAGAAGTTCCCAC